AAAAAAACCAAAAAAAACCAGCACTGCAATGGAAGGCCCAGGGGAAATACAGGAGCTTTGTATAGAGACATATTGTTCAGCCATTGATAAGGTTCTACAGTGATAATTCTTGAATAAAATAAAATGTCATAAAGCAACCGACAAGAAAGAGCTTACTGGATAGAGAGCGAATCCAGAAACAGGAAACAGAATGGCTTTTTGCAGGAAGCTGTGGGAATGACATGGAAAGATAATTTCCTACAGGTGACCTGGTTTCCATAGTCACAAAACTACCTACAGTGTCATTTATGTTGAAAAGTTATGACATGCATGAGGGCAAAGGCCTGTCAAAAAGGACTCAACACTGAAAAGGCCAGATACTTTGAGTAAACAAGTGAGAACCTAGACATAAGCTAGCGACTATATGAGACTCACTCTGACCCAACAATGGACCACTTCCAAAGAATGCTGTGTGGCTTTCAGAGGGCAGTATAACCAAACTTCTCAAGCCAGACCTGCTTAAAATGCAACCTCCATACTGGCTCTGTCTGTGTTTAAAAGGAGGTAAACCAAACAGTGTTCTTGAAATAATTTCTCAACCTGATGCTCTTGTCAAATGGGATATTCACCACTGACACAGAACCCTCTGCTTGCTGTAGTATCTAGAGGGAGCACAGGACTGCTGCCTTCTGGTCCCAGCCTGTCAACCTTCTCTTCCCCTTCCTTTGCCAACATTAGGCAAGAAGCTAACAAATGGATCTAATTACCACAGTGGTTTGAGGCTTCTTGACTCTTTTTCCCCTCCGAGCTATAAAAGATGTCCTCAGACTGAGCTACATAAGAACTGCTGTCAAACTCTCACTTTGATAAGCACTTAGATTTAATGTCAAGCTGACGCTGTGGAAGACCTTGACTAAATTTGCAAACAGTAGACTCTAACCCGACTAGAAATTTAGAGTTGTCTCATTTCAACTTTCAAGCTTAAATCCCAGACATTTCCTTCTTTTTAATGAATAACAGAGGTTTGCATGTAAAGCCCTAAGCACAACAGAGCAGAGTGTAGCAAGCAAAACACCCACAAGCTCTGAGAGAGAAATCCCTCAGCTTGCAACACTTCCGTATGAATTAAAGATCATTCCTGATATTCGATTCCACTCCCACTTCATTTAAGATCTGTAACTGGTCTCTCTTATGACTCTATAATATTTAAATAAGTTCTGAAAAGTTTACTTAAACTCTTCTTAGTGTTCTTTTATGTGCAGGAGTTTTGTATATGGGCAGGATGAAAAATATGAAGAAACATAAATCTGCTCGTACCACCAACAATGCTATTGCTCCAACTGCTACAGATTTCCCACCCCCTTTTTCTTTCCTCTGGTGTTCCCTTTTTTTCTTTAAGATGCATACAGACTCTCCCCTTGAGGTAATAAAAGACTAGAAATTTAAAGATCTGGAACATTCATTCTTTTACATTGGCTACGTCAAACTCTCACTTTGATAAGCACTTAGATTTAATGTCAAGCTGACGCTGTGGAAGACCTTGACTAAATTTGCAAACAGTAGACTCTAACCCGACTAGAAATTTAGAGTTGTCTCATTTCAACTTTCAAGCTTAAATCCCAGACATTTCCTTCTTTTTAAAAGATAACAGAGGTTTGCATGTAAAGCCCTAAGCACAACAGAGCAGAGTGTAGCAAGCAAAACACCCACAAGCTCTGAGAGAGAAATCCCTCAGCTTGCAACACTTCCGTATGAATTAAAGATCATTCCTGATATTCGATTCCACTCCCACTTCATTTAAGATCTGTAACTGGTCTCTCTTATGACTCTATAATATTTAAATAAGTTCTGAAAAGTTTACTTAAACTCTTCTTAGTGTTCTTTTATGTGCAGGAGTTTTGTATATGGGCAGGATGAAAAATATGAAGAAACATAAATCTGCTCGTACCACCAACAATGCTATTGCTCCAACTGCTACAGATTTCCCACCCCCTTTTTCTTTCCTCTGGTGTTCCCTTTTTTTCTTTAAGATGCATACAGACTCTCCCCTTGAGGTAATAAAAGACTAGAAATTTAAAGATCTGGAACATTCATTCTTTTACATTGGCTACTTTTTGAAGAGGCTGCTGTCTTTTGATTTCTTTTCTTTTTTTTTTTTTTTTTTTCCTTTCAGGCTCCTCCTACATCATCCAATTCAAACAAATCTGCTTTCAAGAAAAACAAAACAAAATTGTCAAGACCTGTGAAGCATGAAAAATAAATTACTTTTTCCAACCCCCCCCAAAGCAACAGAAAAGTATTAATTTCTATCTTCTTATTTAAGCCTCTAAACTAATCTGCAGACATCACACAATCTTTATATATTCTTCTGTATAATACATGACAGGAGATCAAATATTATTACTAAGATATTTAACTTGCAAAACTTGCAATATAACTAATATTTAAACTAGTGTTATTTTGGAGTTTCACTGCAAACGTATAAAACATTTAAGATGATGATACACATTCTTGAGGCTGCCAGTAAAAAATAAATAACCCACTAGGACTTGTCGACAATGCTCTTATCCTTTCAGCTGATGGGAACTTGAGCTTCATTAAGGGAGGAGAACCCAAGGCAGCAGAAGACAGTCTGGTACAGTGTCAAATATGAAATATCCTAAGCTTTCTCACTGAACTACGGCAGTGAGACTGCTTCCAATATTCCCCTTCTTCTAATACAGTAGAGACCTACATTCTGATGTTCAACTTTCTAATGCTAACTTGATTCTGTGGCTATAAACAGCTCCATGTAGCACTTGTTCATAACGTTAAAAAAAAAAATTTGTGGTTTGGCAGTTCACAGTTAAAGTGGTAGACAATCATCATATTTCTGTTGAAAAGTATATCCGATAGAGTAGCAGATGATTCCAGGAGTGACTTATGGGGTAATTTGTACTGGAGTAAAGCTATTTTCTGAACTAGATGATGTAACTAATAAAAAAATTGTTCAGATAGTATCTTATTTAATTCCAAGAAATCTTCAACTCGGAAGCCTAAAATCTAAACCAGCTAACCGTCAGTTGTCAACTTGACACACCTGGAAAGAGGGAGCCTCAACTGAGAAATGGCCTCCATCAGATTGGCCTGGGGCCATATCTGTGGGGCCTTTTCTTAACTGCTGGTTGATATAAGTGGTGCCATCCCTCAGCAGGTGGGCCTGGGCTGTTTAGGAGAAGTAGTGAGCAGGTCAGGGGGAGCAAGCCTGTCAGCAGCACTGGTCCATGGTCTGTGCTTCAGTTCCTGCCTCCAGGTTCCTGCCCTGCTTAAGTTCCTGCCTTGGCTTCCCTCAGTGATGGAGTGTTACTTGGAAGACTACAATGCAAAAAACTGCTTCATCCCCCAAGTTGTTTTTGGTCAATTATCACAGCAACAGAAAGCTAACTAGGACAATCAGGATTCAACTTATTACAAGATTTTAAAAACATGGTGCTGATTCAAGGGAACAAGGGAAAAGTAACCCGCCCCCCCCTTTACCAGAAGAGGAGACTGAAATAGACTAATATTTTTCACACAATTCAAAGTAAAAAGTGAAGAGTTATACTGCATATTATGTCTCCTTAGAGCCCCAGGGTGAGTGGAGATACCAATGGAGGAATCAGCTAGTTACAAGATGGCATTGCAGAACAACGGTCCACACTGCCTGGAGTGCCAGGGATGGTGCAGGCCGACATTAGCTCCTTGCCAAGGCAGGCATGGACAGTGAGCTGACTCTGCATGTCTGTAACCATCCATAGTGTTTGCTAAGTCCCTTTGCTTGCACTGAAAGGACTATTGGAGCATTCATTAACAAAGTTAATAAAGTTACTTCATACTTTAGCTTTAAACCTTCTTGCTTTAGTAAGTGAATGGAAGGGATAGATTGGGAGTGCCATTACTTACATAATAGTCCTGTCCCTTAATCTTCATCAGCTATTGAGAGCGGTGTTGGGTATTTCACATGCCACTTCAAATACAGAGAAAATGCCCAATCTGCTGCAAAATTAGACTCCCAATTACACAGACATAGTCATATACATTTTGATATTTATTAACACAAACAGTCCAGAAAAGGATTGGGTCAACATTATAGCATATTAAACATTAAAAGTTGGTTTTAGCTGATTGCTTCTAGTCCTCAAGTGCTGTCTGGATTTTCTAAAACAGGATTTAAATAATACCATTCAGTAAAAGATTTCAATAGTAACTCTTTCTTTTCCTTTATGCCAAATAGAGCAGAGTAGAGGAAGCCCTGCTTTCCTAATAGACATGTGTGCACGAGGCAGAGGAGGGTGTTCACTGGAAAGGTTAAAAAGAAAAAGGCAAAACCTTACAAACAGGAAAGGTCTGATGGGGTAAGGTTACTGTACTGCCTGAGTCAGTTACTAAAGTAGTCTTCCAGCCCCTCCAACTCCGTTTCTAGGGAGGAGTTTAGAGAGGCCAGGGCAGACGCTGCATCCCTGGTTTTCTGAACACTGGGTTTGGGCTGAGGTGTTTCCGGCTGGCTGGATTCCTTCTTGATGTCTTTGCCACCAGTCAGGAGCCGCTGACTCTCGAGGAAGAACTGATTCGGATGGTTCAAAGAAAAGCCACAATCATCCACCTGCCCAAGGAAACAAATTTATCCATTACCACATAGCTTCAAAGACTGTCCTCAACCGATTCACATCTTAATGCCTGTGTAGTGGGTCCTAGCTGTTCTCATCTAGAACACACAATCCCTACTTCCCCACTTCACTGAGGGAGGGCTGCAGCACTGTCAAACACCAACAGTTCACATGCTGTAGGTCCAGCCCACTCCTCCACACTTAGCTCCACTTCCTACCCACTACCTACCCAAGAGCAGATGGCACAAAGCAGCTCAAACTCCACTTCAAACACACTGCTTCCCCTCCTCTGCCTCCTGTTTGGAATGCCTACTGGATATCTTATCAATTCAGCCCTCCACCTCCCATGCATCCTCAATTCTTAGAATAGTTAAATCATCCCAGTGTTGATGAATACCCAAAATTTAAAAAAACGTGTCTGATAGGACTGGAAGGGCAGCTCAGTGGCACACCTACCTGTTCCCTAGCAGGCACACAGCCCTGGGTTCTAGCCCCAGCACCACAAAAGTAAGAAAATCTGGGAAACCATGTGGGCAAGTCTGTGTCCCATGACGTGTTAATGATGTACAGGTTATGGCCATGTAATTCACCACTGTATCCATAGTTCAAAGCAAGAGGTAAAACACATTGCTGGTCAAGGTTAAATATACACTTAGGCTCTTCTCTCACTTTAAAGAAAATTTTAACCACAAAACTATAAAGGTCTTTGCTCTTTACATCAACAGGTTAGCAAATGAAGTACATATGTGTCTTAAGTTTAAAATGCATTTAAGGAACATAGTTTTTATGAATTTCCATTTTAATGAATATCTTCATTAGCCACTTAAAGCAGGGCTGGGGCCTTGAAACAGGCTTGTCTCATGGTCTCTGTAATACGCCCCCTAGCATTCTCTCTGGTTTGCACTTGCCCTAATGCACTTTAGCACTGTTGTGGTTTGTCAGCAAGATGAACTTTTGTTTCCTTTCCTACTGAGCTGTGCTTTCTTCTGGGGTAGATTCTCTCAAGTCTTTCCTTCTTATTTTTGAAGGAAGAATACCTAGTTGCTATTCAATCTTCTTTCGTCACTTGGAAAAAAAAATTCAAGTTTGTTTGTTTAGGGAAGGGGACACAGTTTTGTTTTAACAACCAAAAGTGAAAAAAAAAAAAAAAAAGGTCTTTAAAGTCAAATTATGGAAAAAGAACAGAGAAAAAGAGGTACCTACATCCCAATTCCTCATTTTCCTATTTCTCCGGAGCCAGCAGCGGTTTTCTTCATTACTCACCAACACAACCTCCACATGCTTCTTTCCAGAGTTGGAAATTCATGTACTGGGACTTTTTTGTGTATTATTCTGTTGCTGCTGTTAGTGATGGTTTTCTTTGTAGTTGATTTTTGATTATATTTTGCACACAGATATTGGGAGAGGGAAATACTGTGGTGCATTTTCATTTTACCAGACTGTATTAGTCAGCTTTGTGTTACTCTGACAAAATACCCGAGATTAACAATTTATAATGGGAAAGGGTTATTCTAGCTCACAGTTCTGAGACTTCAGTCCATGGTCTGCTGGCTCTGTTGCTTCAGGGCCTGTCAAGGCAGTACACCATGGAGAGCAAAGGACCAGGGTCCCAATACCCTTTCAAGGACATGGTTTATGACCTACCTTCCTTCCACTAGACCCCACTCCTGGAGGGCTCTACCATCACCTTTGTACTATAAGCTGCAGCAAAGTATACAACACATTAACCTGGAAGATCCAGAGACATGGGAAGGATCTGGACCAAGAGTGGTACAGCCAAGGGACAGTGTTTTATAGGTACTCTATAAATTTTGTATTTAATCTTCAGAGAACTGGAAATCCAATGAAGGATTTCAAAGCAGGGTAATGAAATGCTCAAATTCCACTACTTTAAATATCACCCCCAGCAGTGTGAGGATGATAGAATTGAAATGGGGCATGTGTAGATTCTGAAAAATGAGTCAGGATGTTATCACAGGGTCCCAAATGAGAGGTGATGTGGCTTCTACACAGAACTGTAATTGCTATCTGAAATGATCACCATGTAACACTATAAAAAGGCCTAAGTGCACTTCATATATCCCAGTTAAGATGGCAGGAAAATGTGTGATAGGTGTTATCAAGTCT